TTTGTTTAACACTTACCATTGGATCTTGAAATCGTCGTCATCACCGATTGCGTGATAGTTGCCCGACCAAGGGAATTTTGAGGAATTTCAACGATTCCTACCAGAGTGATCAATCTAAACAATTGTCTTTCCGTTATTTATTGTTTCCCGAAATGTGCCCCAATTTATTTCAAAAGTACGTCATCAAATTTCAGCGTCTATTTTTTTCAAAATCCTCTTTCAAAATAAAGTTCCGTTTTTTTTTTATTTTTATTTTTTAAAATTTCAATGTACCGCCTTTCCTCTTTTTTTCCGAAAGTTCTGAGGAGTTCGGATTTTATTCCAAGGAATCAACCAAACGATCACCCGTTAGCGGAATATCTCGTACAGGAACCAAAATTTTATTCGAAATGAGAGATTTGGTCATTACTTCCTCATCCAACAATTCACCATAAAATTAAGCTTCCCTCAAAGTCAGTGGCCCAAAGGTTTTTACCTGATGAAAAGAACTTTCCATAATTTCGGAACTCCATTCAAATTCTATTTTCAAAAAATTTCCAAGGAATTTTAGATCTTATTCCAAGAAATCAATCAAACAGTTACCTTATAGTCAAATGTCTTCTAAGGAAATTGAAAATTTCACTTCAAAGTGAAAGACCCGGTCATCACTTCCTCATCAGCACTTTTCCATAAAATCAGATTCCCACTAAAGTAAAAAACCTAAAGATTTCTGTCCGATGAAAAACTTTTCATAATTTCTAAAATTCTACTCGGGTTTTCTTTCACAATTCTTTCCTCCCGAGGAGCTCTCGATCTGATTCCAAGTATCTAATCAAACAATTGTCCGCTTAGTCAAATGTCTTTCTAGGAGATTTCGAATTTTATTCAAAATTGAAGATTTGGTCACCACTTCCTTATCTCCCATTTTTTATAAAACTCGAAATTCCCCATAAAGTCAATGACTTAAAGATTCTTATTCGATCAAAAACCTTCCATAATCTCCGAAGCTCTACTTAGGCTGGAAAGTTCCTTTTTTTTTTAGAACTTATTCTTTAATAACATGTTTTCTGGGGGATTTAAATTTTAAAAACGCAATCATTCCTTTCTCTTTCCACTTCTTTGATCACTAAGGTAACAACCCAAATTCAGACTCAAATTCTTTAAAATTGGGAAACCACCCCCCCTAAATTACTACTGATTACTCAAATCATGATCCAAATAGGAATCACTGCCTAAATTCAACTCCCAAATCTTTGTAACTTCATCATTGCCCCCAAATAACTCGGATTGAAATAGAATCAAATCACTGCCACGTCAGACTCCCCAGATTTTGGAAATGAAATCACTTTGCCCCCAAATAACTCGGACTGAAACAGAATCAAATCACTGCCACCTCAGACTCCCCAAATTTTGGGAATGAAATCACTGCCTTTCTCGTTGTTAGATCGCCGGAATCAAATCAAATCATTTCCAAAATATCACAAACACATAATTTGCATTCATGCCTATTTGGCGGGTAGGACTGCCCTGTCCTAATTTAGAAGTCAGACCTAGGATTCACTAAATCATTCAAAGAGGCAATAATACAATCCTAGAAATGAGGGTATCCCGCCCTAGTTCGGAAGCTGCTAATGATCCATCCATGCAAAAGGGGTTAAGTTTGGTCACAAAAGGATACATCAGTTATTACTATCAATATACCACTCCTTCCACAAGAGAATGATCAAACAGCACTAGTAGCATAGTCTCATGCTTGCCTTGTTGACATAACATAACCCACGAATAGTTTCCAGAATACTATGCAACAAATCCGAGGATAGGTGAATGGAACCAGTCAATTTTGTTCAACACTTACCATTGGATCTCGAAGTCATCGTCATCACCCATTGGGTGATAGTTGCCCGACCAAGGGCATTATGAGGAATTTAAAGGATTCCTACCAGAGTGATCAATCTAAACAATTGTCTTTCCGTTATTTATTGTTTCCCGAAATGTGCCCCAATTTATTTTCAAAAGTACGTCATCAAATTTCAGCGTCTATTTTTTTCAAAATCCTCTTTCAAAATAAAATTCCGTTTTTTTTTATTTTTATTTTTTAAAATTTCAATATACCCCCTTTCCTCTTTTTTTCCGAAAGTTCTGAGGAGTTCGGATTTTATTCCAAGGAATCAACCAAACGATCACCCTTTAGCCAAATATCTCATACAGGAACCAAAATTTTATTCGAAATGAGAGAGTTGGTCATTACTTCCTTGTCCAACATTTCTCCATAAAATTAAGGTTCCCTCAAAGTCAGTGGCCCAAAGGTTTTTACCTGATGAAAAGAACTTTCCGTAATTTCGGAACTCTATTCAAATTTTATTTTCAAAAAATTCCAAAGGAATTTTAGATCTTATTCCAAGAAATCAATCAAACAGTTACCACACAGTCAAATGTCTTCTAAGCAAATTCAAAATTTCACTTCAAAGTGAAAGACTCGGTCATCACCTCCTCATCAACACTTTTCCATAAAATCAAATTCCCTCTAACGTCAAAAACCTAAAGATTTCTGTCCGATCAAAAACTTTCCATAATTTCTTAAATTCTACTCGGATTTTCTCTCACAATTCTTTCCTCCCAAGGAGCTCTTGATCTGATTCCAAGTATCTAATCAAACAATTGTCTCCTTAGTCAAATGTCTTTCCAGGGGATTTCGAATTTTATTCAAAATTGAAAATTTGGTCACCACTTCCTTATCTCCCATTTTTCATAAAACTCGAAATTCCCCCTAAAGTTAATGACTTAAAGATTCTTATTCGATCAAACACCTTCCATAATCTCCGAGGCTCTACTTAGGCTGAAAAGTTCCCTTTTTTTTTTTAGAAGTTATTCTTTAATAACATGTTTTCTGGGGGATTTAAATTTTAAAAACGCAATCATTCCTTTCTTTTTCCTCTTCTTCTGTGATCACTAAGTTAACAACTCAAATTCAGACTCAAATTCTTTAAAATTGGGAAACCACCCCCATAATTTACTACTGATTACTCAAATCATGATCCAAATAGGAATCACTGCCTAAATTGAACCCCCAAGTCTTTGTAACTGCATCATTGCTCCCAAATAACTCGGATTGAAACAGAATCAAATCACTGCCAAGTCAAACTCCCCAGATTTTGGGAATGAAATCACTGTCTTTCTTGTTGTTAGATCGCTGGAATCAAATCAAATCATTTCCAAAATATCACATAAGCACATAATTTGCATTCATGCCTATTTGGCGAGTAGGGCTGCCCTGTCCTAATTTAGAAGTCAGACCTAGGATTCACTAAATCATTCAAAGAGGCAATAATACAATCCTGGAAAGGATTTGCATTCATGCCTATTTGGTGGGTAGGGCTGCCCTGTCCTAATTTAGAAGTCAGACCTAGGATTCACTAAATCATTCAAAGAGGCAATAACACAATCCTGGAAAGGAGGGTATCCTGCCCTAGTTCGGAAGCTGCTAATGCTCCCTCCATGCAAAAGGGGTTGGGTTTGGTCACAAGAGGGTACATCAGTTATTACTATCAATATACCACTCCTTCCACAACGGAATGATCAAACAGCACTAGTAGCATAGTCTCATGCTTGCCTTGTTGACATAACATAACCCACGAATAGTTTCCGGAATACTATGCAACAAATCCGAGGATAGGTGAATGGAACCAGTCAATTTTGTTCAACACTTACCATTGGATCTCGAAGTCATCGTCATCACCCATTGGGTGATAGTTGCCCGACCAAGGGCATTCTGAGGGATTTAAAGGATTCCTATTAGAGTGATCAATCTAAACAATTGTCTTTCCGTTATTTATTGTTTCCTGAAATGTGCCCCAATTTATTTTCAAAAGTACGTCGTCAAATTTCAGCGTCTATTTTTTTCAAAATCCTCTTTCAAAATAAAGTTCCGTTTTTTTTTTTATTTTTTTTTTAAAAATTTCAATGTACCCCCTTTCCTCTTTTTTTCGGAAAGTTCTAAGGAGTTCGGATTTTATTCCAAGGAATCAACCAAACGATCACCCTTTAGCCAAATATCTCGTACAAGAACCAAAATTTTATTCGAAATGAGAGACTTGGTCATTACTTCCTTGTCCAACATTTCACCATAAAATTAAGGTTCCCTCAAAGTCAGTGGCCCAAAGGTTTTTACCTGATGAAAAGAACTTTCCATAATTTCGGAACTCTATTCAAATTTTATTGTCAAAAAATTTCAAAGGAATTTTAGATCTTATTCCAAGAAATCAATCAAACAGTTACCATACAGTCAAATGTCTTCTAAGCAAATTCAAAATTTCACTTCAAAGTGAAAGACTCGGTCATCACCTCCTCATCAACACTTTTCCATAAAATCAAATTCCCTCTAAAGTCAAAAACCTAAAGATTTCTGTCCGATCAAAAACTTTCCATAATTTCTAAAATTCTACTTGGATTTTCTTTTACAATTCTTTCCTCCCAAGGAGCTCTCGATCTGATTCC